ATGCTGAGCAGCATGCCTACTTTTCTCTGTTACATGAGAATTCGATTTCTTCTGCCATTAAAGGTCTAAATTCTATATGCCATTCAACTTAAAGCATTCAATTTTCTTATATCATCGTTGAGGTTTAGCTTCGATTTCTTGTGTTTATTTTCATTTGAAGGGTCTATATTGGTTGGATGCAATTTTTTGTCAACATTTTAAGAGAGTTTATATGGATCTTGATCGGAAAGTCAAAGTGGCAATGCGATTGGCGGAACTGTACAAACCCTATTTATTGTTTAAGGGCATGTAAGTATACATTAAACTCTCTCTCCTAGTTTACTACATCCATTGATAGCAGTAGTAATAATTTTTGGTCCTTTCTTTACTTTTGTGTACAGATTCGATGACAAAAATTCAGAAAAATTGCGAGTGGCAGCAATGGAGATGGGTTTAAATGTGGATGAGTTTGGATTTGATCCCAAATGCATTGACTGGGAAGATTATTTCATCAACATTCACCTTCCTGGCCTTGTACGATATGTAATGAAACAATAAATTTTGCCGTTAAATATTTTATATGCTACTCTTTCTTAGTTGACAATTGGTATGATGTAATTGACTTTGAATGTAATGTCTTAACGAATAAGAAGAGTTGTATGCATAAAAAAAAAAAAAGTATTTAATGAACTAGTTTGGGTAGTTGGTTTTAAATTTTATATTTTCTATAACAGAATACTAATAAATGCTAATAATCAGTTAACAAAATTAATAAAACGTTATAATCTGATATTAAATAAGAGTTATTTTTTTCAATTCGTATAAGTAATGGGTTAAAAGTGTTATAATAGAAGGTAAGAAGTTAAAACCTACAAATTTACTAAATTAAAGGGTTAAAAAAGTTATAATATAAAAATGGAGATTAAAACCTACAAACTTATTAATATAAAAAGTTAAAAGTAGGTTTTGCCCATTTATGATGTGTTTACAATTGGTCAATTTGGTACTACCATTATAAACTACCAACTGCAATGCCAAACGCATTCTTAGCTTTATATTTGGCTTAACTTAATTTTTAGTTTATTAACTATCGCCTTGATTTTATTTTAGTCTAGAAACTATATTTTATTTCTAAGTTGTCTATTAACTTTCAAATTCATTTCAATTTCGTTTACTTGGTTATTTTTAACGGAAAACTTCCTATTGTGTTAGAGAATAGTTAGTCCTCTGACTATATTTTTTTTGATCTTTTAGTCCTCAAATTTATATTTGTTATAAAGATAGCTTTTTTACTTAAAATTATTATTAAAATTATTATTTATAAGCTATGATACCAGATTTTTATACGAGTTTTCCTATTTCTTTAATTTGGTATCAGAGCTTAAAAGTTAATAGACCACTTAGAAATAATAATTTTTAAGTATAAAAATCTGGTATCATAGCCTAAAAATAATAATTTTAAATATAAAAGCTATTTTTATAAAAAAATATAAATTTGAGAACTAAAAGATAAAAAAAATATAGTTAGAGGACTAATTGTTCTCTAACAGAATAGGAAGTTTTCCGTTATTTTTGATCAAGTAGACGAAATTGAAATGAATCTAAAAGTTAATAGACCACTTAGAAATAAAACATAGTTTCTAGACTAAAATGAAATCAAGGTGATAGTTAGTAGATTAAAAATTGAATTAAGCCCTTTATATTTATATAAACCTACCATCACTCATGCTAATGTACCCAGAATTCTTTATGCTTACAAAATATTGCATTATTTTCTTTTCATGGATTTGTGTAGCGCTGTTCGATCAGTTCCTTGAAAACAAGACCATTTCTAAGACATGTTTAATGTATAGAGGGGCTCTGTAACAGGCTGCATACTGTTATTAAGTCATTAAGTTTTAACATAGCTTAATATAATTGAGGGCTATTTTTGAAAAGAAAAAAAAAACTAAGATGTATTTAACTTAATTCTACAAGTTATACCGAAGATAAGGTGTTTTTTAATATATTAAATGATAAGTTATACAATAAGTGATAGATTTTTTTCCATCTCCTCACTTATCTTAGAAATCAAACTTAAAGTCTTTAATACGGAATACCAACTATAAGTTATTTGTGGAATTTAATTGAATTTCTGGATTTTCAAAAACTATAGAAATTCATTTGTATTCATTTGCAAATGAATTCCATAGTGAATCCATTTATTTTCATATGATAATTAATTGCAAAGACAAGAATTAGTTGATAAATACTAGTTGTAATCCCCACGCATAAAAAAAGTAAAAATAGAAAAAATAACTCGCAGTATACAATGTACAACATTAATAATTTAATAGCTACTGTGTTGTGTGGTTGTGAGGGCCGGATCCTCTTAGGCCCAATATAGGACTTGGGCCTACCATGAAATGAAAAAATTAGAAGAAAAAAAAGACCAGGCTCTAGGCCCTAAGCCCAGATGAACAGACTCTTCTTTTTCCCTTACCATAGAACCGACTTTTTTTTTTTTTTTGAATAAAGTAACATGGGGGTTTGAACCCAGCCTCAAGGGAAAAGAGAGGAACTACACCTTATAACAAAAGTCATTTAACCCAATGGGTCAAGGGCGAACGGACCTTTTTATTAGAAGAAAAAGAAAACATGTGATATGACATTAATTTTCGAGGCGGTAGGGACTGTAAAGATCAAATTACTCATTTGCCCTTGACCCCTCAAATAGAGCCAGTGAAAGTAGTTGTAAGGATATGCCTAAACCCAGTCAGTTTCGGATCGACCGTTACTAATAGCTACTGTGTTGTGTTGTTGTCAGTCCGGGGGATCCTCTTAGGCCCAAGATGGGATTGGACCTAACATGCTCATTAATGGGCCTAGGCCATGAATTTGGTAATACCAAATTTACCGAAAAAGTTGCAAATCATGAAATTATCCTTTTCTTTTTTAGGTATTCAGTTATTGAACCCAGTAAATATATTTTTTGAGTTCAAGGGCTCCATATATATTGTACTCCAATACTTTATTTTTTTATTAATATGAGATATTTGTATATCTCATATATTTTAACTTCATTTACATGTTCTTATACTCCAAGAAAGATAGCCATCTACACCAACCGGACAGGCACAACCTGCAGTGTCAACTTTGTCTGTCTGTCTGTTAAGGAAAGTTTTCATGTGGTTGATGTTGAATAGTTTGAAAAGTAAAAGCCTCGTATCTTTTCATTAGTTATCATGAATGATTTGCCCATTCTCTCTAACATTGTTATATCTCTTTAATTTCTCTTATCTTCTATTTTTCCATTTTTTCTCTACTTCTAGCAATTTTTTCAGTCAAGCATTATCATTTCTTTCGCACATTGTCCAGTATTGGTGCAGAGCATGTTAAGCTTGCATGTGCTGAAATTATTTGGGCTGCAGAGCAGAACAATAAGGAACAGTAAGAAACAAATTTCTCATAGACATCTATCAGCGACATCTGCATATTCTTTCATTTTATTCTTTTCACAAGGATTTTGGTATACATCCCATTTAAAAGGCAACTTGAAAAGGAAAAATGTTTTTGCAAATCAATTGAGATCTTTGATGTCTTGCCCCAAAATTAATACCCTTCAACTAAACGATTATTATTGCATAACTTTAGGTCTTGAATCTACATGGATGCTATATTAAACTAACAAAAAGAGTTGTCATTATGAGAAACTAAATTAAAAGATGATTTCTAAAATTAAGAATAAAAGTATTTAAATAAAAGATGATAATTATAGAGAATTAAAAATAATATTATGATAAACAAGATTTCAGAGTTCACTTAATTGATTTATTAAACTGTTATAAATTTTTATTCTTATTTATTACTCAGTTGCATGTTTCACATCCCAAACAAACAATTGGAATATTTAATTTTGAAAGCCAATAATAATAACTAATGTATTTATTTTGAGAGAAATTAATTTCAATGAAAAACAAACTGATCTATCATTACAAATTATCTAAGAGCGACAATATATCCAATCGACAATACTGTAGTAAAGGATCAACTTGCAAAATAAATCTACCAATTAATTATATTTTAACAAATTGCGCATAAAAAGAATATGACTAATCTTATATGAAATTTGATGAATATAATTTTTAGAGTTTTCAAATCTAAAAATAATTAATAATCTCTCAAAAATAAAATTAAATAATAAAATCTATGAAGAAATCAAAATAAAATAACAAGTCAAATTTCTCAATTAATATCACCTCTAATTTTGTTAAAAATTTAATCGTACTTTGACATAATTCTCTAACCCTAAAAGAGAAGAAAATATGTGCCTAGAAATTGTTTCTCAAGATGATAAACCTAATTTTAAAGACTCTAATGGAAATAAAATAAGAGTTTTTGGTAATCAAATAGCAGTCCTGAGGATTTTCTTTCTTTCTTTCTTTCTGCACTGTTCATCGGACAGGGGTTGTAGCGGAACCCCTAATGTTACTGGAAATCCTTTTGCGCGGGTCACAGCAACTTCGCGGATTTTGCTCTTAATAAAAAATGGAGAAAATCCAACTTGGGCCTTCAAACTTTCAAATTTAATTCTTGGATCCTCATCTTTTTAGCTCTTTGCATTCAAGTCATTTTCTTCTAATTCTCTCCATTTAATATCAAACCCTCAAACACCACAAATTTGCACAATATGAATAAATTGAACAATTATAAAATTATTTGTAAAAAAATACAACTCTTAAGATCATAATTCTACAAATATCAATGATTAAGTACACTTTAAATATATATTTTCATACTTTCATCAATCTTGTTATTCACTATCATTTGTACTTATCATTTCCCTTTCTCGGGAGTAAGAGATGCACGTTATAAGTATTTCTTTTGCTGTTTTTTGTTCTAGCAACTCTATATCAATGTTATATAGCAAAGCAAGGAGTCTTTTCTTTCCATTTTCTTTTTCTTTTTCAATTAGATGTTCATGTATGTCTTTGAACTCTGACTTCTGCTCACTTTGGTCTACAAAAATATTGCTTCAGGTCCTGTCAAACTCTGTATATTGGACTAAGAATGAATTTACTCATCTGAGAAGGAAATTTGAGACTGTGGTGCAGGTATTTTAATAATGGTGTTAACAAAATCTCTATTTTTCCAATAAATGATTGACTCTAGACTCTAGCCTTTTTCTAAGACATGCAAAATTTTTAATCATCTTAATGATATAAAAGGATAAAAATTGATGGATTCATGCTTTTGTTTCTTGTTTTGGTTTGTCTTCGTCTTTTTATAACATCTTACTAGGTTCTAGAACTTAAATTTTGCCTTTACTTATACCTTTATCTTTTCAATATTTGTTGGGAATTTCGAGCACCACAATCTCACGCAAACAAAAGCAATAAAGAAATTGAGATAACAACTTAACGTAATTCGACTTATATACCTCTCAACAAGCCAACGTTTACGGGAAAAAAAGAAATAAATTCACTATTAACAAGAAAAGTACAATAATTTAAAAAATCTCTCACTCAAGAAACTCTCAACACCCTAACTTCAATGTATAGAAACTCTCAAATTCTTCCTAATACTCTCTCTTAATCTACACAAAGATTTTCTCAAAATTTCTCTCTTTCTTTTCTCTCACAAGAGTTCTCACTTAATTTCTCTTGCTTTCCCCCACTCCTACTTGCACTCACTCTTGCTTGAACATTGCCTTCGCATGCATGGGTATTTATAGTGAAAAATCCAACCACCCATGCACCATTTTTCTTTGCCTCATTATTACCCGTCCATGATTTTCTTTGTTCATTAAATGGGTCAACATGCAATCTTGCTTGATTTCAACAAAGCAAATACTAGCCTACAACTAGTTAGGTTGGTGAAGAAATTTCACCACATGGGGAGTACATGTGTTCACATGGGGTTGGACTTTCTCCCAACAATATTATCAAGACAGTCATATTCTTTACTGTCATTTGAACTGCAGATGGAGAGGAGGATTATTAAGCTTGCAAGTAGAAACTGAAAGGGAGCCATAACCTATCCCAACTTATCTCCTTCAGTTGGAAGTTAACTAGTTGAAGTTTTCTATGTTTAATCAATGTTGCTTTAGGTCTGAAAACAGGAGAATATGCTACAGTAGCCTGTTTCTTTTATATTTCTATATGATGTAAGTGCATTTCAAGTTTTTAAGCAGAATGTTTGTTGTTGTTAAAAGCAATGCAAATCAGACAATTGGGAACAATCTACCCTTCGTTTAATTCTTGTTATCTAGAGTGCTATACTTCAACAAAGATGTCATATGGAATATTCTTAACTCTTTATATATAATTGCAAGCGCTAGATAAAAATGTCACCAAAATGCTCAGGCTCTGACATCATTTGTAATACTTTGCTTTTTGTATGTTTTGCACTTACTGCCTATAGTTAAAGAGAAAAGATTAATTTCTCAAAAACATGAGTGGAGATGTAAGGATTTACTATTATCACCTTGTTTTCTGCCTCTTATGGTTGGAAACCATACACGCAACGCAATATTCCATGAAAGTAGATAGAAATTTGACTTGCAAATTTGTATACTCAAAATCTCTTACATTTAGCGCTTCTGATCTCCAGTTACAATTTCATTTGGATAGGTTATCTTGATTCTACTGTTTAGAGATGTCATTTCTCTACTATATTTGTAGTGGGAGTGTAGCAGTCTAAGCCATATGTGTTTCAAGCTGTAGAGCACGCAGAACTCAAAAATACCATTTTAACTATTTACTGATCTCGGCATTTCTAAGCATTTATGATATTGCTTTGTGGTCTAATACATCTAACAAAGTGCTTGTTAGATTATAGAAATGGGCCTCAAAGATTATATCGTTACCTGATTGTGACATGTACCTACTTTTCTCTGTTAGGCATAAATTAGGTGCATATTAGGACCCAAAATATGTGTTATTGTTCGGTGTACCATTTGGATAAAACTATTCTATGAGGTTTAGTTTGTTTGGAAGTCCCATTGCCTAGTCTTACCGTAGTTTTTTAAAAACCAAGGTGTCCTTTTAGTCTACAGTTGCCGCCTTAATCATTCCAGGTTTAGAGTATTTGGCAAGACTTCATCTAGTTCTTTTATATGTTTGTTTCCTTATCTGTAAGCAAAATCTTCGATTTATGTCATGCACTGTAATAGCTTATTTTTTGTGCTTTGATTTCTTGTCTGATATCTAAAAATGGCCTTAATTACCTTTTAACTGATCTAATTAATAATCACTTGCCTTCATCATCTTATACATGTCATATTCTCACTATAGCAATAGTCAGTAGAGAGATGATTTGGTATCAGACTGTTGTTGAAAGAGGGCAAAGAGTTCTTTTTGACATTTGCCATTAATTTGACTTTGACAATGCATGTGTTAATTTGCGGATGGTAGGTGTTTAAAACTGTATGGAATCATGCTAAACTCGGGTGTTCTGATGCACATGGTTTTTGTCTGCAAGACATTTTGCCTATTCAATCTCATTGGAAGTGCTTACACGTTTACATCTCACTTTAGCTTAAAAGTTCTGGTTTTGACTTTGGGTTTCTGATACAAAAGTAGCATGGCTTTTCCTATTGTTAAAGAATTGCTCGAAGAATATATATTTGCAATCATAAATTGCAAATATTATGTAAATGTGCTTTATATGAAGGTGTGGCCTTATGAAATATCCTTTCGATTTTATATAACAGATTATTCCATGTCACACAGATATGGTGCATGAGATTGACATTTCAGAAAAGGGTAAATTATTTAATTTCAGTTATTTTCTTTAAATTAGAGAAATATTTAATTTCTGTTCTGACATTCTCATGCTTATGGATCCTAGGGGTAGGCCTGACTTTGGTGATACCAAATCTACAAAATAAATCGATAACTTTATAAATGGGTCAGTATTAAATATCTTCGGCATGGATTTGTGGCTTTTTGTGTTCATGAATCAGCGTTTCTGGTAAAAGGAAGGACTTTTGGTTTGCTTTTATTGGTTGCTATCCAATTTTCAACGACAAAATTTATGTGGGTACAATTAGGGGGCAGAATTGGGTCTCACAAAACAAACTGACGTTGATATTTTTTCTGCACTAGTTCTCTACCCCATGTTGTATACAAAAATGGGGAGCACTAAGTACTAACGTTTAGTGATTTTATGAAGGGTATTGCTGGCTGGAGCGACATTTGGCCTCTAATTGGTGGGGTGCCAATTTCTTCTTTTCCTTTTAACTCTTTTTCAAAGAAAAGTGCGCACTCAGCCAATCAAAGGTCGACGCCGAGTGCTGCTGGACTCAGGCAGTTTGCCAAGTGCTACTAGCACTGCTCTTTTAAGAATATCTGACCCCTTAGGGACGTGCAGTGATAAAAACGTAAGCTTTTATAATAAAGATATTGAGTTCAAATTTTAAGATCAATAAGAATAAGTTTATAGAGAATATTATCTTTTATCTTATATAATTTATGATTAAACATATAATAATTTTATAATTATTTAAGTAGGATATTTTCTAAACAAATATAAATTTCAAATTAAAAAAAAAAATCAAACCAAAATTATATTGATGAAAGTATAACTTCAAAATTGTCTAACTGGAGGGCACGTGCAATTATGCAGGACATTGAATCCTCCAATTGTTTGAGAGGACAGAGTACTTTAACGTGGGGGAATAGGAGTGAGAAGAAGGCAGACGGAGACGTACAAGAAAGGAAAAGAAATACGTGGTGTGA